GGACTGGGGCCAGATCACATGGGGCCTTGCAGGTCACAGAAAGGAGCTGAGACCTCATTCTAAATGTAACAGAGCTATTAAAAGATTCTGAGGGATCCTGGTTTGCTTTAGGAGTTCACTCAGCAGCTGGGGCACCAGCACCCCACACTAGAGCACCTGGGTCCCAGCCATCTTACGGGAGACCTGGATTGAGCTCCTGGCTCCCAGCCTTAGCCCAGGCCTGGCTGTTGTGGGCCTTTGGGGAGGGAAGTAGTGGGAAGACAGGAGCTCTCTCTGCCTCTCAATTAGATCACATTTAAAGAAAAACACTTTTTAAAATATTTTATTTATTTGAAAGGTAGAGTTATAGACAATGAGAGGGAGAGAAGAGAGAGAGAGAGAGGTCTTCCATCTGCTGGTTTACTCCCCAAATGGCTGCAACAGCCAGGGCTGGGCCAGGCCAAAACCAGGAGCCAGGAGCTTCTTCCGGGTCTCCCACCTGCGTACAGGGGCCCAAGCACTTGGGCCATCTTCTTCTGCTTTCCCAGGCCACAGCAGAGAGTGGGATTGGAAGAGGAGCAGCCAGGACTAGAATTAGCACCCATATGGGATGCCGGTGCCACAGGTGGAGGATTAACCTGTGCCACAGCGTCAGCCCCTTAAGATTTTGAGCCAGGGATTTAACATTGTCCAAGGTTACTGTATCTGCAGGGTGAGAACTGGGCTGTAGGGAGCAGCAGCGCAAGTCCAGAGAGTCTGGTCAACACTGGAGGACCCTAGCTTTAGAGAGAGAAATATAGCTGGGCCAAGCCGTTGGGAGGGAGTCAGCTGGAGCCAGTAATGACCAGCTGTGGGGGATGAGGGAGACCGTGAGTTCCAGATCTCTGGCTTCAAGGGATGGACACAGTATTTCCTGAGCAGAAGAGGCTCTGGGCCAGGGCTGGAGGTCAGCCATGAGGCTCAGCGGAAGACTCCCATCCAAGAGCCGTCAGTGTATAAACTGGCAAAGACCAGGGGAAGAGGGCGGGGTCCCTGCACAGAGCGGGTGACATCAGTGGATGGACGGAATCGCCCTGGGCTTTCCCGCCACTGGTGGGGCAGGTTTGCCGCCATCCCAGCCATTTCCTGTGACTCCCTCATCTTCAAGGACAGACACCCTCATCCCTCAAGCCTTTTAAAGTGAGTGCACGCGTGCCAGTTAAAGGACCTTCTGGCACTTTCTTGAGATGTCGGGCCTCCTACCACGTGAGCCACTCACTTGGTGAACTGCTCCATGAAGCGGTCCCGGTGGCCTTGCAGGGTGTCAGCTGGGAGACCTGGAAGAAAGGAGAAGAGCAGGTGACGCAGGGGCGGGCGGGACCAGAGGGAGGCACAACAGCACAGCAGGGCTCCGGAGGGGGGCGGGCCTAGACCTGGAAACTAGCAAACCCAGAGAAGCGTGGGGACACTCATTTCAGATCTTTCCATTTCTGCTTGCTCCTGAAATACAGCCCATCCTGGGTACAGCGAGGTGGAACTTCTCTGTCCCTGACTACAGACATGGTGGCAACCTGACCGAGTGGCGGGCCCAGGTGTCGTGTGCACTTGTTTTCGTGTGCACACGAGCCTGGGAGAAACCATGAGCTTGCCGGAGAGGAAGCCATCAGAAGGCAGAGAAGTGGGCTGGGATTCGGGGCGGCTGGGTTTCTGTCCTGCCTTGGACCAGCCTCGGCCTTTGCACGGCTGGTTTTTGGCAGTTCTTGGACCTCCCAGATGGTGTTGAGTCTGTGTATTTCAGCCATGGAGCAAGAACTCTGCCAGCCTTGTGGGTTTTGTTTCATGTTTACAATTTAAATGTTAGCTACTTCAGAATGGGTGATACGTTCATCTGATATGAACAGGGAGCACACGTTCAGGATCACTCAGAAGTGGGCTTCCGAGGCCTTTCTCCCAAGAACCCTTAACCCCAACCAAATAATGGGAAAACATCAGAAGAAAAGAGAGGGCGGGTGCTGCGGTACAGAGGGCTAAGCCACTGCTTGGGACACTGGCTTCCTGCTTAAGTGCCAGCTCCTCTGCTTCCCACCAGCTTCCTTGCTAATGCATCTGGGACGTAGATGATGGCTCAAGCTCTTGAGCCCCTGCAACTCACATGGGAGACCCAGATGGAGTCCTGGCTCCTGGCTTTGGCCTGACCCAGGCCAGGCTGTTGTGGGCATTTGGGGAGTGAACCAGTGGATGGAAGATGTCTCGCTCTCTCTTCCTCCCTTTTTCTCCATTGCTCTGCCTTTTAAGTGAATGAATGGATATTTTGTCTCGCCTTTAAACCTAAACACACAACTACCTGCCTCTTCTCCTAACTGCCCACTTTCTACACAGCAGGTGCCGCTGCACCGGGCAACCCTGTTCTGCAGCATCTCAGAAACAAAGCCCACGTGTGTTCAGTGCAGCGGAGCCCCTGCCTGCCGCCTTCTCCTGGGGTTGGGTGCACGCCCTCCGCTCCCCTGGGGCACACTGACTCCATCCAAAGCCCTTCTAATCCTCCCGCCAGACATTCCAACCTCCCTTCCAGGAAACCATCCCGGATTCATCTGAGTGACGCTGCTCCTCTTTCCTTGTCTAAATGCCCAGATGCAGTCCTGGGCAGTGACCACAGCTAGGGAGCAGCCGTCCCCTGTACTTGTAGACAAATAGGACCTCCTGGTCCCTTCTGTGCTCCCAAACCTTCCTGGCATCCAGTTCTGCTGGGTTTTCCACCAGCCATACCCTGCATGTACACGTCTCCCACGGTAGCCACCTCGGGGTGTGGCCTGCACACCCCCACATCAGACTGGGGATCTGTGTTTAACAATGCAGGACTCACCCTGGGCCTTCTACAGTGGACACCAGGGGCAGCAGGGCCAAGATACATCATTTTATTTTATTTCACTTTTGAAGATTTATGGATTTAATTATTTGAAAGGCAGAGTGACACAGGGAGAGCAAGAGAGACAGATATTGAGACCTTCCACCTGCTGGTCCATGCCCCAACAGCCAGGGCTGGGCCAGGCTGAAGCCAGGAGGCAGGAGCTCCATCCAGGTCTCCCACGTGGGTGGCAGGGGCCATCATCTGCTGCCGGCTTCCCAGGTACATTAGCAGGAAGCTGGGTAGGAAGTGGAGCAGCTGGTTCTAGAACCTGGCACTCAGATACAGGATGCTGGCATCTCACGGGATGGCTTAAGCCACTGCACCACAGCGCCTGCCCCAGACACAACAATTTAAACAAGAACCATAGTGAAGTCTGGAGACTTCTGCAAGACCAGAAGTTTCCAAAGTATATTCTGCTAAGGGCGTGCCAGGGACCTGCAGCCTCAAGCTGATGTTTTGTGCTTTTATTACTTTTCCATGAAACCCCATCTGAACAAAGGGACCACGCTGACAGGCGGCTTGGAAGTCGCTGTCTTAACTCGCGTGGGTCTGGGCCAGGCCTGCCGTTCCCTGGGTGGTTCTGAGAACGCGCGATGTCCCTGGTGAATGGCAGTGAGCTAGAGCTAGACGTGGGCACAAAGGGACTTCCTGGTGCCCAACTAGGGCGAGCCAGGCACTTTGCCAGGCACTCGGAAGCTTGGGCCGTGGTCTCCTGTATTCTCATGGAAGACCCTCCAGGGCCTTTTAGAACTGAGGCAGAAGGCCAAGGGCATGAGGGGCCTGCACCCCTCCAGGACACCCCCAAGGCTGCGATGCTCTGTTGGCCCTGGGCTCACGGCGGGAGGAAGGGCTGCGTACTCACAGGAGTGGAGCTTGAAGAGAAGCTTGACCGTGTAGTCGTACAGGTGGCTGCAGTCCAGTATGACCTGGATCAGCGGGGCCAGGCGGCACTGCCCGGCCGTGGTCACCGACACAGAGCGGGACATGTCCAAGGAGTTGAACACTAGGACATGGAAGGGGGAGTGAGGCAGGAGAGCTAGGAAGTGACTGGTGAGCTCTGCGGGGGAGCACACACTGAGGCCTGGCCTGGGCGTGCGCGACCTCGTTTAATTCCTGCAACCATTTCAACAGTCCACGTGTGCTCTGCATCACACAGGGAAGGCGTAGGGCGAAAGTGAGCTTGCAGGTGGTCACAGAGCCCCGAGGTGGTTGTGCTGAGAGGCAGTGACCGCTTAAGGTCCCACTAGAGGGCCCACGTGGCCAACAACTGGCCAGGCCAGGTCAAGAACCTTGGTTGTGTCATGGATGGAGAACCGGGCCCTGGAAAGACCGGATCGGCTCAGAACCTGGGAGCGCTCCTAGGATGGAGGAGAATCCCTCTGTTGGGTCTTTGAAGAACTCCCTAGTCCCAGCCCTGAGTCTGATCGAAAAGGCCAATGGGCATCATGGTTTATAAAGGATTTCTGGTCTAACGTGAAGACGGGTGACTGTTGAGGGAGAGCCCTGAGATTTCCAGGGAACCGGAATTTCAGGACCGGAAGCGGCTGTGGAGCCAGCCCCTCCAGCCCTCCCTCTCACGACTGCACTTAAAGGGTTAACCCTTGACCTTCAGGAGTGCGCCTGGTGGTGGCGGAAGCTGACCCGTGGCTGGGGAAAGGATCAGTTGGAAAATGAAGAAGGGAAATGTGCAGCTGTGGCTGCCCACGTGGCTTCCGGGGACAGCAGAAGGGACACCTAGAGGGCCCACGAGGGCCGAGAGGGCAGGGCTGAGCGTCAGCATCAAAGGCAAGTTCAAGGTCCTTGGGGGGACTGGTCAAGAGAAGCAGCGCCTTCTGCTCTCTGAGTTCCAAGAGGAAGGGGCTCCCTCCCGCTCCTGCCCCAGTGGTCCCTGCACGCTTACCGCTGACTCCAGATCCTAGACCAAAGCCCCCAGTGCCTGGGCAAAGCCCAGCAGCTCACACCCTGGCCGGGGCTGTGGGCTGTCCTCTGCCTCTGGAGACCCCATGCACTGCAGGCGGCTCTCCCTGCAGTCCGTCTGGAGGCAAGCCCAGGGCCGCGTGTGCTCTGCCACCCCCGACTGCGCCAAGCCTTGCTAACTGCAGTAGTCTGGCCCCTGGTGGTGGTGGTGGGGGATTCCTCCAAACTGGTCTCTAATAAAAGGTGGCTTTTCTTCTAGATACAAATGAAAAGCAGCTGTCACCATGAGGCAGTCACGCTGCCTACTGGCTTCCTTGGGCTCTGTCTCCCGGGTTGCCCGCTGCCTTCTGGAGTGCTCAGGGCACCCAGTGGACCTGCAGCACCGTGATCGTGGACAGCTCACTCAAGCTGTCTGTGCCCCAGGATGCACAGACCTCACAAGGGACTTGTAAGGTGAGCTTTGGCTTTGTGGTTGATTTGGGTCTGGGGAAACTGAAGCCTCCCTCATGTCTGCCTGTGCCTCACGCCCAATCTCACCACTTCCCCGCTAACCTCCCACAGTCAAAAGTGTACTTCCTTTTTTTTTGTTTGTTTGTTTGAAGATTTATTTATTTCCTTTGAAAGCCAGAATTCCAGGGAGAGAGAGATCTTCCATCTGCTAGTTCACTCCCCAGATGGCTGCAACAGCCAGAGTTTGGCCAGGCTGAAGCTAGGGGCCTCTTCCAGGTCTTCCATGCAGGGTGCAGGGACCCAAGGACTTGGGCCATCTTCCACTGCTCTCCCAGGCCATAGCAGAGAGCTGGGTGGGAAGAGGAGCAGCCAGGACACGAACCGGCGGCCATATGGGATGCTGGCACTGCAGGCAGATGCTTAACCTACTATGCCACAGTATCAGCCCACAAAGCCTGCTGATGAGCTCATCTAACTTCTTGGCTATTGCACAGAAAGTGAAAGACAGAGTGGTGGTATGGGTATTGCTTCTGTGCCACCGTAAAGTTGGGAAACCATTGAGTCTGGGGCCAGCACTGTGGTGCAGGCGGTTAAGCCGCCACCTGCCTTGCTGGAATCCCATACAGCACCGGTTTGAGTTTTGACACCCCACTTCCAATCTGGGTCCCTGCTAAGGCACCTGGGAAAAAGCAGCAGAAGATGGTCTAAGCGTTTGGGCCCCTTGCACCCTGGGAGAGCCAGGTGGAGCTCTGGGCTCTTGGCTTCTGCATGGCCCAGCTCTAGCTGTTGCAACCATTTGGGGAGTAAACCAACTGATGGAAGACTCTCCCTTTCTCTTTGTAACTCTGCCTTTCAAATAACTAACTAACTAACTAACCAACCAACTAATTAACTAAATCTTAAACCAGCAACCGAGATGCCTGCGTCCCCTGGTGTGACACCTGGCTCTGGCTCCTGACTCCCGCTTTAATGCTGACCCTGAGAGGCAGCGGTGACGGCTCAAGTCATCAGGTTTCTGCTACCCACATGGGAAACCCAGACTGAGTTCCTGGCTCCTGGCTTCAGCTTGGCCCAGCCTTGGCCACTGAGGGGATGTGAGGACTAAACTGGTGGATGGGAGCTCTCTCTGGGTCTCCTTCTCTCAAATAAATAGATAAGTACACCCAGCTAGGGATTGTGAGACGTGGGGGCAAAAAGGATGTCTGAGTCACACCTGTACCCCCCTCATCTCTCAGCCCCCTCTCTGGGGGGTCACCCCCATCTCTTCCTGCTTACTTGCAGTCTATCAGGAGCTCGAAGGCCATCGGCAAAGCCGCCTTGCTCTCCACCAGCCTCCATGGGCAGCAGAGGCCAGAGCTCCAGGGAGGCAGCTTGGAGCGGCTGGTTGGCCCCTTGGAGACTGGACCCTGCGGAAGATGGCAGTTCCTAGGGCCTCCCTCGGACACGCACTCCATTCTAGCGCATTCCAAAGCTAAATGTGCCGGAATGCTGAGTTAACCTCCTCTGTCTTCCCACATGGCTATCTGGAAGTAGTGCTCTTAAGTTGTATGCACACATTCTCAATGCATCAGGGACTGTATGCTGTGTTTTACTGTTACTCCACTGCCTTATGACACAGGCTGCTAACAGGCTGGTACCCATTTCCTCTTGTAGGTCACGGTTTCCAACTCTTTTAACTGTTCCTCTGACACATCCTGTGCTGAACTGATTGACTGGTCAAAGCATCACGCCAGGAACTTGTCGCCCTGTTATAGGCCTTGGCCAGTGCTGGACCAGAACAGGCCAGTGGTGCACGTTGGCTGCACATATGGACAACAGCGAAAGAAGCCTGCGGTCAAGGTCAGTCAATGCCCCAAGAACGGGCCCAGTGGGGAGAAGCTGCTGAGCTGAACCCACAGTCTGCAGCTCACTGCGAGCCAGACGCTTGTCGTGGGGCCCCCTTCCTGCCCCCCAGTTCTCAGAGTCCCTCAGTGATGGCAGGGGAGGCAGGCTGGGAGGTAGGGGTGGGGTGGGGAGAGAGATGCGGGGAGCAGGGAGCTGCAGGGGGCTCCACAACTCCCAGGAGAAGGGAGCCTGGCAGGGAGGCCAGCTTCGTGGGCTGCTCACGTGGACTTGAGTGACAGCCAACTCCCCTAGCTTTGCCCCAGCAGACGTGATGTACCAAGGCCTGGCCAGGGCTGAGGCCAACAGGGAGGGAGTGGAGAGATCTCCCTGCTCAGGTCTGAAACCACCAACAAGGAAAATACCCTCCCACCGCGAGGAGCTGGGAGAGCAAAGGCCGGGTGGGGATGCCTCCCAGCCCCTTGTTCTTCATAGGGACAGGGAGGGGAGGGCTGGGCCAGCTGGGCATTCTGGGAGCCCGGGTCAGACAGGAGGGAGGCGACTCACCAGTTTGGAAGAGGTTTAGCTCACACTCCAGGTAGTCAAACATCTCCACTGTTAACTGGAAACTGGACCCAAGAGGAGACAGCTTATACTCCACAGTCCCATGGCCAGGCCCCCACCTGCCTCTGCCCACATCCCATACGTACACACACAAATACCCTCAGATACGCATGTGGATACACACACACATGTGCACGCATGCTCGTGTGATTCACTCATGCACGCACGCACACATGGGGCACGCACGTGTGTGAATGCAGTCACACGCACAATGCATGTATGCACAAATGTATGTGAGCAGCCCACCGCCAATTCCTAGCCCCCACCCCAAAATGGACACTTTAGAGCCATCCGAAGCCCAAGCAAGACAAAGAATTCATAGTGGCAGTGGCCAGGGAGAGGACAGGCACAGGACTGGGATGGGAGGGTAGGGGAGACAGAGGGAAGCAGGGGGCATGGGACAGACCACCGAGGGTCTGCATGAGGCCCAGCAGGAGGTGGCCCCAAGGCCAAGTTCATCAGAGGCTGCAGAGGAGACCCCACCTCAACCCCTGCCTCTCCCATCAGGCTCCCAGAACCCTCACAGGAAGCTTCTCTCCCCACCAGGTCCAGGACACGGGGGCCACCACTCACAAGTTGTTCACGTCACTCTCTCCAGCCTCGTCCAGCTGCCGGTCACTCATCTGAAGGTTGCCTGGGAACCTGGGATTCTGGAGAGGAGGTGGAGGGGGGAACCAGTCTTATAACTGAGCTAAGCCAACCACAAGCCCGCTGTCCACGTGAGATGCAGGCCATCGCAGGCGAGATTCGCCTGGGCAGCTCATGCTCGCATAGGCCCCTCCCTGTGCTCAGGAGGTGGGGCTGGGTCCCTGGCCCTCACACCCACAGACCCTGACTGGCCCACAGCAATGACCAACTGCTACCTGTCACTGGAGGCAAAGGCTCTGCCCGACTCCTCCAAGCTGGCAGGGGACCCTTCCCTCTAAACCGCACCCTGGAACATTCTTTCTTTCTTTCTTTCTTTTTTTTTTTTGACAGGCAGAGTGGACAGTGAGAGAGAGAGACAGAGAGAAAGGTCTTCCTTTGCCGTTGGTTCACCCCGCAATGGCCGCTGCGGCCGGCGCGCTGCACCGCGCTGATCCGAAGCCAGGAGCCAGGTGCTTCTCCTGATCTCCCATGGGGTGCAGGGCCCAAGCACCTAGGCCATCCTCCACTGCACTCCTGGGCCACAGCAGAGAGCTGGACTGGAAGAGGTCCGACAGAATCCGGTGCCCCAACTGGGACTAGAACCTGGGGTGCCGGCGCCACAGGCGGAGGATTAGCCTATTGAGCCGCGGCACCGGCCAACCCTGGAACATTCTATGGATGCCCTCCCCAGTGCAAAGGGTCCCTATGTGTAAGCGGGGTGGGGGGTTAGGGGGTGGGGGCAGCCAGCTCAGGGCTCCTGCTGTCTTTTGTCACCTCCTGAAGCCGTGACTGTGAATTCAGGAAACGCAAACCCATTCTCACACCAGCTTTTGCATGAAGCATAACGAGTACAACAAACAACGGCAGGACAATACTACCCAATGCACATGCAAAGTCGAGAGGAAGGAGAGCGTGGCTTGTCACTAGCGCTTCACCCATGTGCTTGGTTGGAGTGGACACAACCCAAGGCCAAGGGAGCCGGCCGCAGAAGGGCAGGGGGCCATCCTGTCATTCCAGAGTGAATACTTCCGGCTCTGACAATAGGATGCCTGACACAAAGTAGCAGGGGCCCCGGGAGTTCACTGTTTCTGCTCTGCCTCAAGTCTACAGCAGTGGGTCTCCACGTGGGATCCTAGGGCCAGCAGCAGCACCACCACTGGGGCGCGGGCTAGAAATGCACACTCCCAGGCCCCACCCCGGACCTGCTCCGGGGGTGAGAGTCTGCGGGTGGGGCCCTGGTGACTCTGGATGGGTGGGAAAGCAGGGAGTCTTGGGGGGGCTGCAGGTTCCCTGGAAGACCCGACGGTCAACCCTGACGGGGAAGACTCACTTTGGTGTGGAACTCCATCTTGGTTCTCAGCAGTTTGAGGTAGATGCTGCATAGCTGTCCGTAGCCCTCACTCAGGTGGCCCTGGGGGGAGGAGGAGAGAGCATCAGCTGACACCAGTCCGGGTGAGCCACCCACAGCCAGCACTCTGCCAGTGACGAGTCGTTGTTTTCTTAAAGATTTTCTGTTATTTATTTGAAAAGCAGAGTTACTGAGAGAAAGGGAGAAACACAGACAGACAGGGGAGACATCTTCCATCTGCTGGTTTACTTCCCAAATAGTTACAATGGCCAGGGCTAGGCCAGACCAGAGCCAGGAGCTTCTTTGGGGTCTCTCACACGGGTGCAGGGGTGCAAGGACTTGGGCCATCTTCTACTGCTTTCCCAGGCCATAGTGGACAGCAGGATCAGAAGTGGAGTAGTTGGGACTCAAACTGGTGCCCATATGGGATGCCAGCACTGCAGGCGATGGCTTTACCCACTAAGCCACAATGTCAGACCCAGGAATCTCTTTTTCTGGGTCATGAAAATAACAAATGCCCACTGTTGAGAACAGGGAAAGTATGGAAGAGCACATCAACAAACCCCCCATGCTCCATCTAACCACTGGCTGGAATGGCAACGACCACTCTGGGATTCTGAGGGCTCTTAAAAGAGGTGGTGGACGATACTATAAAAATAGCAGGTGAGGATTTGAAAAATGTTTTGCACCAAAATAAGCTTATCTTTTAATTCAATTTCTTGATATCCTCTTGTATAACTTCCCTGTTAGTTTATATGTTCTTTTTTTAAAGATTTACTTGTTTTACTGGAAAGTCAGAGTTACAGAGAGAGAGAGAGAGAGAGAGAGAGAGAGAGAGAGAGGTCTTTCATCCACTGGTCTACTCCCCAATTGGCCGCACAGCCGGAGCTGTGCCGATCTGAAGCCAGGAGCCAGGAGCTTCTTCCAGGTCTCCCATGCGGGTACAGAGGCCCAAGGACTTGGGCCATCTTCTACTGCTTTCCCAGGCCATAGCAGAGAACTGGATAGGAAATGGAGCATCCAGGACTTGAGCCAGAGCCCACATGGGATGCCGGCACTGCAGGTGGGGGCTTCACCTGCCAAGCTACAGTGCTGGCCCTATATTTTCAACTCAAATGTATAACTTTTTTTTTTTTTTTTGACAGGCAGAGTGGACAGTAAGAGAGAGAGACAGAGAGAAAGGTCTTCCTTTTTGCCATTGGTTCACCCTCCAATGGCCGCCGTGGCTGGCACGCTGCGCTCGGCACACCACGCTGATCTGAAGCCAGGAGCCAGGTGCTTCTCCCATGGGGTGCAGGGCCCAAGCACTTGGGCCATCCTCCACTGCACTCCCTGGCCACAGCAGAGAGCTGGCCTGAAGAGGGGCAACCAGGACAGAATCCGGCGCCTCGACCGGGACTAGAACCCGGTGTGCCGGCACCGCAAGGCGGAGGATTAGCCTAGTGAGCTGCGGCGCTGGCTCAAATGTATAACTTAAAAGTTATAGTACTTAGGGGGCTGGCGTTCTGGCTTAGCAGGTGAAGTCACCATCTGCAGTGCCGGCATCCTATATGGGCACCGGTTTGAGTCCTGCCTGTTCCACTTCTGATCCAGCTCTCTGCTTTGGCCTGGTAAAGCAGTAGAAGATGCCCCAAGTCCTTGGGCCCCTGCACCCGCGTGTGGGGCCCTGAGGAAGCTCCTGGCTCTTGGCTTTGGATCGGCACAGCTCTGGCTGTTGTGCCTAATCGGTGAGTGAACCAGAGGATGAAAGACTTCTCTCTCTGCCTCTTCTCTCTCTGTGTAACTCTGATTTCAAAGAAATAAATAAACCTTAAAAAAAACAAAAACAAAAAAAGAGCACTTGTGGGTGGGTTCACAGCAAAATCGAAGTACAGAGTTTCACATACTCAGTGCCCCCACCCTTGGCAGCCTGCACCACGGCGGTGCGTTTGTCACAGCTGCTGCACCTACACTGATGCCGCTTACCCAAGAGCCACGGTTTGTGCAGGGTTCACTCTTCTGTTGGGATCCTAGAACTCTGACAAACACCTAACAACCTCTACCACGATCGTATCATATAGAGCAGTTTTATTGCCCTAAAAATCCTCTTTTTTCTATTTCTTTTTCTCTAAAAAATGTATTTTTTAAAGATTTATTTATTTGAAAGGTAGGAATGACACCAAGAGAGGGACAGACAGAAAGAGAGAGAGAGAGGGAGAGAGAGAGAGATTCCTTCACTTTCCAAATGTTCACAATAGCCAGGGCTGGGCCAGGCAGGATCGAAAGTGGAGCAGCCAGGACTTGAAGCAGCACTCTAATACGGGAGGCCGGTAGCCGCAGCAGTGGCTTAACCCACAGCACCACAATATCTACCCCTCTGCCTTGATTCTTAGATAAATGGAATCCATTTCCTCCTTAATAGCCTGCATTTTTCCCATCTCAACCCTTCTTCTGTGAGGTCATGTTCAGTGACTGCTCAGAACCTGAACCATGATTATTTAAGAAGGGGAGTGGGAGCACCAAGAACCCTGCACCTGTGCAGCTGTGGCTGCCACACTCAGGTCTGATTTCTACGCTTCCTTTGACCTCTACGTCCTTGAGGGCAGAATAAAAGAACTGCATGGACACCTGTCTGATAGCACCCACGGGAGACGAGCAACCACAGGGGGCATGTTTTCATGCTGCATTCACTTTCTGCAAACACAACTCATTTATTTAATTTTTTAAAGATTTATTTTATTTATTTGAAAGGCAGAGTTACGGAGAGAGAGAGGGAGAGACACAAGAGAGAGGATCCTCTTCTATCCACTGGTTAACCCCTCAAATGGGCACAACAGTCAGGGCTGGGCCAGGCCAAAACCAGGAGCCAGAGACTCCACCCGTTGTTGAATTCTTTGTTTAGTGGAGGGTTAAGCTTGTGCTTATAAAATAAACTAGAAGTCTGTCATTGTAAAAATTAAAAGAAAAAATAAGAAGGGAAGGAGGAAGGGAGAGGGAGGGAGGACAGGGTGGGAAGTATTATGCTCTTAAATCTGTATATATGAAATACATGAAATTCATTCTTCTTATATAAATTAAAAATTAAAAAAAAAGAAACGCCATCCAGGTCTCCTATGTGTGTGGCAGAAGCCCAAGTACTTGGGCCATCTCCTGTTGCTGTCCCAGGCACGTTAGCAAGGAGCTGGATCAGAAGTAGAGCAGCTGGGACTTGAACCAATACCTGCATGGGATGCTGGCATTGCAGGCAGTGGCTTAACCCACTATGCCACAGTGCCAGCCCCTTCAAATTTGTTAAAAAATATTTTCATTTTGTTTGAAAGGGAGAGAAAGAGACAGACATCTTCTACCCACTAGCTCATTATCCCTACGTGCTCATAACAGCCAGGGCGGAGCCTAGCCAAAGCCAAGAACTAGGAAGCTTCATCTGGGTCTCCTGCATGGGAGCCAGAGACCTAGGCACTTGGGCCATCTTCCACTACTTTCCCAGACGTGCGTCAGCAGGGAGCTGGGTCAGAAGCGAAGGAGCCGGGACTTGAACCGGGCAGTCTGATACAGGATGTAATGTCTCAAGTGGTGACTCATCCACTACACCCAACACCTACTCCAACAATTCATATTTAATTCATCAAATATGTATTCATTATAGAAAAATTGGAAAGTACCAAAATAGTAGGAAAAGGAGTAAAAATATCCTCATCAAAGACAACCACAGTTA